TTTTTAAACAATTTTTATAATAAGAAGTGTAATTGTTTATTAGCAACGTTTATTACATGTATTATAAACATATATTTTTATGCCTCCATTTATAGGTAATGTATGTATATCCATACAATAATCTAATGTGTACTTATCACTACATCACAGTTTGCTGTAGTTCTAGTTGTAAATGTATGCATATGTTTTAGTATTGATATTTAGTAGCACCTACAGATTAATGCCTCTTTCAGGTGAATAAAACCATTCCAAGAAATATTTATATGCAAATATTTACTTTGCTTACAATTGATAAAAAATATATGAAAAATAGATGGATATGTATTTCCTATGAATTAAACATAAATGAAAATTAGTTTTATTTTAGAGAAATTAGTAAATCTGAAATTACCCTGCATATGATACATAAATCATTTATTTTGTGTAAATTATTTAAATAATTAATTCTATGGCAATTTATCCGTATAGTAAAAATGTATTATTGATAATTTCATCTGATTATAATAATTTCAATAATTTGATATACGTACATATAATTAAACTGTCTACAAGAAAATCTGTATATTAACATCAAATGTATTATTATGCCTGATAAATATCTAATTTGAATCATATTTGTGTTAACATATTGCAATAATAGTATGTATAAATTTATGACATATGTAATATATGTAAAAGTTAAATAAAATCTAGTAGAATACAGTGATGAAAAATGTTATTAATGTCATCATCTCTTACAATTTACAATAATAATGTTGCTCGCTTGACATTACTCTTATTTTATTTCCACAGTTTTTATATAAATATGGTTATATTACAATTAAAAGTTACAAAGTAATTAAGTTGATATATATAATCGTGTGCAATAATTTTTAAGTTTTGTACTAATTGAATCTTAAATATGTGTACATATGTAAGTACATATCAGTGATGTTATCTGTAATAATTTTTCATGCGGGCTTTTAGAAGTTCTGTGACAGGCTCGTTATGAGGCTACTGAGGAAATAAAAATTAAAATATATCATAATGATGGCATCTCTCATCATCAAATATTTTAAATTTGGAGATAAATTAAACTAAACTAAACTAAATTCAAAGTTTAATGTATTAATAAAAAGAATATTAATAAAACGTTAATATTAATATTAATTTTTAATATTAATAAAAAAATGTTCAATGTATTATGCCATATTGCACGATCATATTATTTAGAAAATTTATATTATATGAATTCTTAATTTTTTAAGAATTAATTGCATAAAGAATATTCGCATGTGTATTCGCATGTATTTCCAAATGTGTATTTTTCTAGATGAAAGAATTTCATTTTTATTGGGTTGGCAACTAAGTGATTGCGTATTTTAAATAAAAAGGAAAATTCAAAATTTTTGCTTAAAAATATAACTTTATTCAATTAGGTATTGTCCTTCTTTTTCGATGACCTTTTGCCATCTTTCAGGCAGTGTCATAATTCCATGTTCATAAAATTTCTGATTTTTATCAGCAAAAAACCGAATTAAATGTGATTTTACATCATCAGCGTCATTAAAAATTTTACCATTTAAGGAGTTCTGTATGGAACGAAATAAATGGTAATCTGAAGGCGCAAGATCAGGGCTATGTGGTGGATGTGACAACACATTCCAACCTAGTTCCAATAATTTTTGGTGAGTGACCAAAGATGTGTGAGATTTTGAATTATCATGCTGGAAAACAACACCCTTATGATCTGCCAATTCTGGCCGCTTTTCTTGAAGTGCATCGCTCAGTTTGGCGAGTTGTGGAACGTACACGTTTGAATTAATCATTTGGTTTCTTGGTAAAAGTTCAAAGTACAGAATTCCTTTATAATCCCACCAAACTGAAAGCATAATCTTTTTTTGGTGAATCTCAGCTTTTGGTGTCGTCTGGGTTGTATAAACTATCCACCTTTCGTCACCAATAATCAGTCGTTTCAGAAATGAATCAATTTCGTTGCGTTTCAGAAGCGAATCGCAGATGCTAATGCGTTGCTTCAAATGAATTTCATCAAGCTGATGAGGGACCCATAAATCGATTTTCTTGACATAGCCAAGCTGTTTTATTCTTTTTTGAATGCATGTATGCGATACATTGAGCTTCTCTGCAATCTCACGCGTTGTACTATAACGATCTGAATCGAGAATGGCCATGATATGGGTCTCGTCAACTTCAACTGGACGACCAGACCGTTGAGCATTTTTCACTGAAAAATCACCAGAACGAAATTTGGCAAACCAATTTTGACACTGCCTTTCTTTCAAGGCTTCATTTCCATATAGGGCACATAACTTCTTATGTGCTTGCGATGCGTTTTTGCCTTTTCGGAAATAATACAATAAAATATGTCTGAAATGCGTGTCTTGTTCTTCCATTTTTAAATTGGGATAAAAACGAAACTAAAAAACTAATCGATACAATCCTTTATTAAATTAAAGGTGGAAGACCAAAGAATAACAAAACAATATAGGTTAGGTGCATTGAACACGTTGACAAAATAAAAGAATGTGCTAAGGCCACCTATTGATAAAATCCGCAACCACTTAGTTGCCATCAATAAATAGTATCTTCACAATTTCTTAAGTTGGCAATATCTACATGTGATCTACATTAATCTACATTATCTACATTAAATAAATTCAAAACATATATATTATAACTTATGTATTATTCTAAAAAGTTAAGCACTTTTTGTTTATTCTATGACTATAATTCTTTTTTCTTCAAAAATTCAAGTGAAAATAAGCCAAATGATTTTTAGAATCAAACTGTTTTACTATTGGTTCTTCTTGCGCGCGAAATAATCCTGCGCACTGAAATGCGTACTGGAAATGTAACGGTTGACCGTGGTTGAGTCGTTGCTCGTTGCACGATACGTATCATTCATTATTAAAACTTACTGGTAATTTAATTTACTTTCCATTTTAATTTAAAAAATTTGATATACTCTAATAATGTTCCTCTATGTACATATTATATGATATAGTATATATTTCATAATTTTCTTTATGTATTTGAACAGCGTATAGGTGTAAAGGGAATTATTAATTTATTTATATGTAATTTATAGATTCATTCATTAATTGTGTAAAGTTTAACGAAATGAACAAAAATAAAGTTTAATGAAAAGTAACAGTTTGATATTATAAACTGTACTTCTCATTTACAGAGCTGTACTATTAATGATGGATAATAAACAATATTATTATAATCAATTATATTGATGAATATATGTACATATGTTATAAGTATGTTAATAAAAATATGTATTTCTTAGGTAATTAAAGCCATCATGAACTGGTTCTGCTGTTTCAACAAATAAGGACGCATAGCATTGCATATTACAAAAGTAATTTTGTTTTATCTATTTTACTCAATATATTTTTGAATACATAATGAGTATACATGAATTTAAGATTTGAAATATTCTATTTACAAAACAAATAGTCTTTTATTAATGGAGAAATATATACATATATATTTTCGAATACTTTTTCAAAATTCTGTCAATCTGTACACTAAAACATTTAAAATTAAGAAAAGAATTCAACAAGAACTGTAGTTATAGTATACTTGGTTCAAAGCCCGTTAACGTTAACTAAAATAACATTACAAAAGATATTCAAATGCTCAGAGATCAGCAATATTTACATTGAATATTCAAGATGAACATTTTGTTCAATAAATTCAGTAGATTGAAAAAATAAGATACACGATAATTCACTCTATATTTCTTCATAACATTGATGAAAAAACTATTTAGAAAATCAGAACAGTAATTTGAGACAGATATATATTAATGTTTTTACAAATATATCTAAAATTATTTGTAAATTAAAGAACAGACTTCAAACGTACTTTTTCACAATTTATATTAATTTATTACAGATACTAAACGTAATAAATTACTTGTTAATTTAATAAAGATATGGTTCATCAACCCATTCATTAATCATAAATATTTTGTAGAATTATTTTTTTCTAATTTACGCTCATTTTTTTTATAAATATTAAAAACAGAAAATTAGATTTTCATATGTGTTGGAATGATTGAATGGGGAGAATTTATTGTTATCTATGTAAAACAGATCAAATATTTACATGCAATAAATTTATGAGAAAGGTTTCTTTATTAATTAGAATATATATTTTTATTTCTTTTTACATTATAATAAACGATACTATTATTAGTCATAAAATCTTGAATTATAAATCAACAGACGTTAATAAAATCTAATAAATACATAATTATATATTTACAGAGCTGTCCATGGAATTCTTACAAACTATATTAACACATTCATAATTGATAATTTGTGGGAAAGATCAACTACTGGGAGAGAAAGAAATCAAGTAAGACATTGGATTGTTGCATGTGAAATGGCTAATATTTTACAAAAATAATATTGTTTTATGATGGCCAAGATGTATTCAATCTATTACATCATACTCTAATTAATTCTACTTTTAATAAATCAAAAGTTTTACTAACGATTCATTTGCAATACCTAACTATTTGTTAACTATTGTTATGTTATTATTGCATTTATAACTGTCTTTTGAATTGTATTTTATATATTTGTATATTTTATGTTTTTATGCAGTTATATATTATATAATTAATATAATATTGTATAATTGTTATATAATTAGGTATTTTTATGTGATCGATTGTTGTCGCGAAGATTGTATAGATTAATATTTAATAAGTGGAAGCTGGCACCTAAAAGTTTTTATATGAATCTGATATGATCATGAATTCTAATGAATATTGACTACCAAGAGATTAACCATTCATTAAAACCGTGTGGCTTTTCAGCTTGTTATGCAAGTACTTATAATAATACAACAAAACTAGTAAAACATTTAAAAAGAAAGAGGAAAATAAAAGAAAATAAAACAAAAAGAAACTAAAAAAGGAAGAAAGCGGTAAAAAAAATAAAACGAAAAAGGACCTAACCGTGGAAAAAAAATAAAAGCGAATACTTCGAACGCGTTGGGAGAATTGTTATCTGCAAGTCTTGAATCGTGTTAGCGCGAAAAACCAAACATGTGCAAAACGCTTGCAGATAAAAACATTTGACTTATCCCGCCACCCACGTGTATCTGTTTACAGCTAGTGACTTCACACATTGGACGAATGGATACAAGCTAATATGGCGTCAAATTAACGTGTAAAATACGCTAAAAATTCTTGGTTTTATATACGTATAACATTTAAACCAATTGATTTTTAAACTCAAAACTTATATTTTTGGATTCTATTTGTCGAATATTATCGGAATATATAAAAAAAGTCAATAATTTTTGGTTTCTCAAAGTAAATTTCAACCGACAACTCAATGTAGTGGCTACAAAAAGTATTTGAACATACCCTTATTTTTCAATAAAATATCTTTTTATCATATTTTACATTTTATTCCGATAGTATCAAATTTTTGTAGACGTAAATATATTATTAAATGATACAAAATTTAATATACCTGGATCTAATTAATATGTAAATGCAAAAATAAATACTTTTAGAGGTGTAGAAATGCTTTTTGTAGCTATTATAATTCAGATAAGTATGGTGGAGGAACGTAAGGATATAATATGGATTCCGAACACCATAAAGTTCACATTGATGTAGGGTACAAAAGATCATAGTATATTATTTGATATTTTGAGATTTGTTTAATATGGTAAACATGGAACATAAATAAGACATTTAGAAAACTGAACTTGAAAAATTATATGGAAATTTAAATTTTTATGTAATATACAATTGTGGTTTCAGCTGGAGAGATATAAGGTAGAAAGAATTAGTAAAGCTCAAGGTTCGAGCATAGTCAAATGGATGAAATATCCGATGAGGAATCTTTCCGTAATGACAAATCTATGGAACATAGAAAATCTGATGTAAGAATAGGAATTTAAATCTATTTTGTTGTTTGTGAACATCAAAGCACTAATTCCATTGATTATAGCCGCATGAAGGAGTTTCTTCAAAAGATGTGACACAAAGCAGTGTCAGTATGAGCGAAGGAGAAGCAGATGGGGATTTAGAAGGTCTTGCAGGAAGGGTGGTTCAATTAGAAGAGTTGTTGCAAGGGAAAGAAGCCATAGTCGAAGCTTTAAATGCGGAAATTGATCACTTGAGAGCAGAGGCCTCATCTCCAAACTCTTCTCAAAGCCAGAGTAGTAGTATACACAGTAGAGATGTCTTGTCTTTGTATCATATAAAAGTATGTAAAATCTGTTCTTTTTTTTTTGTTGACATAGTATATATAGATAGTCATGTGTTATTTTCAATCAAATAGCTACAAGAGTTTGAAAAAGCAGTGAATCAAAGAGATAAGCTAATAGAAGATCTAATGTGGTCTCTGCAGCATGCTCTGTCTGTAAGAGATAATCTTGCTAGTCAATTGAACTCCATAAATGCTATGCAGATACCTTGTAAAGATAGTGATAAGAATAAGTGCTTGGAAGAAAAGGTAAGAAAATCATATTTTTTATGACCACAAAATGAAGAGATTTTTATTAGAAAATTGATGGTTTCTAGATTGATACTTTAGAAAAGACTGTAAGCGATCAAAGGTCAATAATACAAAAATTAAATAGCCAGGTGACCCAAAATCAGGAATATGTACAGACACTGGAAATGGAGAAAGAAACTCGAACAGCTGAGATTAATGATTATAAGTTGCAAATTAATAATTTGAATGAACAAATCCGTCTAAATGCTGCTGACAAAAATTTAAACATCGCCGAGACTTTAGAGCAACAGAAACAGTATGAAGTGCGTGTAGATAAGATAAAACAAGATATGCAACATATATTAAAAAAATTTACAACTGAGATGAATATAAATACTGCACGTCATCAACAGGAATTAAAAGAGCAAGCTGCAAAGTATGAGAAAGAGGTAATGAATATCCAAAAAGAATATGAAGAACATCTAAAGCAATTGAAAGAAGAAAATAAGACTATGGCTGATCGCTTGAACAAGGAACTACCAGATCTGGAGACTCGACATGCCAAAGAACTCTCCATATTTCAAACGCAGTTGGCTCACTATAAGAAAACTGTGGAAACTCTGAAACTCGAGTTAATGAATCGTTCTGAATCCCAACAAACTGCCCAAGCTGAATTGAACGAACAAAAATCAAAGTTTAATGAGTTTAGAGTGCAGGCAGAAAAAGTTACACGCATTCAAAATCTAGATCATCAAAAGGAAAAAGAGATGTTACACGAACAGATTAAGTTGCATAAACTTCAATTGGAGGAAGTCACTTCAAAGTACATAGCAGCGACAGCGGTTCTGGAATCGAAGGAAAGCATTGAACGTTCCTTGGAACAAGCCTTAACAAATGCTGCTGTGTTGAAAGAAGAGAATGAAAGTCTAAAATTTAAACTCGACGATCTGTCGTCGAGATACTCGACAGCGCAGTCGTTGATAGAAAATAGTCAGTCTCATGAAAGAACTTTAAGCAACAAAATCTATGATTTAGAGAAATCATTGTCCAGACTTAGTGGTATAAACGTGAGTACTCTAAGCGAACTGAACGAAACTACGTATCAGACTTTTGACGAAGTGGCGATTCAATATCAGTTGACAAAACAAAAGCTTGAGGAAAAAGCAGAATTCGAGAAACTTTTAATTTGTAAGATTGAGGGTCTTGAAGAGGATGTTCGTAAGTCAAAAGAAGAGTTGGAACAAGCAAATCTTACAAAGAAATCATATGAGAAACAGCTTAAGGATATGAAGAATGTATGCGACAAATACAAATCTGAGCTGAGTTCCTTGAAGAAGAACAGTTTGGATGGCCAGAGTACCCTGCCATTAGCAGAAGAAAGCAAATCATCTAGTCAGAGTATGAAAGATACCATCAGTGATCTGCTGCATAAAACTGAAGAGGATCAACAGGAAATCAAGAAGCTTAAGATGACCCTTGAGCTGAAAGAGACAGAACTTGCAGAATCCATAAAAAAAATGTATGATCTGACAGACATGTTGAAGAAATCTGAGGAAGAGCGTGAACAGTTGAAGATTGGACTAGCCACAGCATGGGCACAGTGTGCAGAGGTAGAGGAAAAATTGAATCAGACGTTAGCTTTAAGCGATAGTAAACTTGATGTTTCATTGTCATCCAGTTATAACAGTGCCTTAATGAAACAATTTAAGCTGGATAGGATTGTTAATAATTCTGTAGATTCAACACACGATAAAAGCATCGATATAAATAGAACTCTTGATGAGAAAACCGAAGATCCTAATATTAGTAACAAAACAGCATCGCTACAAGAAAAATTAATGCTTGTACTGGAAGAAAATAAACGGTTGCTGAAAGAAGTAGAACGTTTAATGAGTCAACAGGCAGACTATGAAGAAATAAAAAAGAAAATGGATCACTACATTAATCTTTCAAAAAACCTTACCATAGAAAAGGAACATAAGAATGAAGAAAATAAAGCTTTGAAGAAGAAGTTAGAGAATATGCATTCACTACAAGATTCTGTAAATCAATTAACATTAGAGAAGGAGACTTTACGTAAAGAAATTGAAGCACTGATTCATGTTCATGACGAGCAGATAAACGCTATAAAAACCGAAACTACATCTGAAATTAGAAAAGTACAATCATTAATGTTGAGCACAAAAGGAGGCACAAAAGAGTTAAACGATCTCAAAACCGAACTGGAAATGCGACACGCGAAGGAAATGGAAGAACTGCGTATGTATTTCGAACAAAAATGTTTGCTGATGGAAAAACAATATTCCGAGGAAATATTTAGTCAGCAGTCAAAAAAGATGTCAGACAATGATAGTGAAATTGCTGACATAACTGAAGGCTTATATTTTGGAGGTGCTGGCGATTGTTTGAACGTTTCGAATATCTCTGAGCATAGTTCAAGACTTGGTTCTCCAATAAAGGATGAGCAATCTAAGCATACCAGCCAAAATTTTAATAGTTATAAGTCTGAATTAGAGTATGAAATAAATATCAAAACTTTGCAACAAGAATTGCAAAACAGAATAATAGAGTTGCAGGAAGCGAAATTGCAATGTGAGAAATCTTTAGAAGAACAGAAAAATATGTATGAAAGACAACTATACAATAACAAGGACAAAGAAAGACGCGAGTTATTGAAAAATATGACAAATCAGGTAAGCAAGATAACTTGATCATTTTATGAACTTCTTATTTGTGTATTTAATGCATTTCGTTTATCTTACTTTTTGTGTTAAATGTTGAATGTCTTTTTGTGCATTATAATCGCTTCTTCTTCTTCTTCAAGAATATGTGTTACATGCTAATAAAAATTGATTTCTTTCATTCACTTCGCTATGTACATTAGATTGCACTTTTTAAATTTGGTATGTCTTACTTTAATCTTTCAATAGTATGTTTTTTATGTTATTCCTTTCTATAATTCTATTTATTTTCGATGAAACGCATGATTCTTTAATTTATTTAAATGAAACCTGTATTTTTTTTAACAATTTTGTTCTTGTCAAAAAATCACTGTTTTGTTCTGAAAGCATTTTTAGAATAGTTTCCGATTAATAAAAGTCACAGATTATAAATTGTAAAGCAAAGTCGTTAGCTCGAACTGAGTACAATTATAATATATTATTTCTCTCGTAACTAACATGCTATTGTGTGACCACATATGTATGCATGCAGCATTGTCAAACAGAATGGGATGCGGGTGCGTTGGAAAACGGTGAATTAACGCAACTACGAGCGGCCTACAACCATCAATTGGAAGAACAGATCGCACTAGCTAAGTTGGATATTGTCAATGCGCTCCAAGAACAAATTCAGGTAGCTTTAGATTTAGCCACACCAATTTACATGCTAATATCCTGCAAAAAATTGATTCGTACACATCCAAGACAAATTTAGTTTCCTACTGATATATTCACTTTCAATTTATCACTTTCATGTCATTGTAATTTAATCAATAGGCACTTTTAACGGTCGAGTCGGATGTAGAAGATAATTGGCCAGCAGAATTGTTGGAATTACGAGACAAACTGACTGGTAATGCAAAGAAGGAGATGCAACTACTTAAAGAAACCCATACTGAGGAAATGCAACGTTTAAAAGAAGAGCATTCTCGAACTGTAGCTAGAATGATCGATCGTCATCAGGAAGAACTTAATAAAATTAAGTCAGAATGTGTTCAGAATTATGGTGAAAAAGGAGATCTTGATAAAAGCGTAGTAACAGATAATCAAATTCTTGAAGAAAGGTATTTACATTTCGAGAAAATTAAAAATCGTTATTATCTTTTATTTATAAACATTTTGTGTTAAACAGGAATACCTTAAGTAAAACGTGTGTAACTCTTAAAACGTTGATTGAAGAACTGATAAAGTACTTTAGTATTTGTGAAGAGGAAGTTAATAATACTTTTATTACCAAAGTTGTTAAGAGTCAATTATCCGATAGCGTCATTAATGAAAAAGCCATGCAAATTGATAAAACTGATGGATTGAAATTCAACGAATCAAGAGAGAACCAAGAGACTAGCTTATTGAACTCTTCCAAAATGAAGATACAAAGGATCCATTTTGCTCCAAAAACTACCGAGATAGTTTCTATAATAAATAGCAATGCTGAAACTTTACCAACTATTCTGGAAGAAGATGAGTGCATAACAGAAAAATTAAAGCAAGAATTGAACAACTGCGTACGTCGCTTGAAATCTGAAAGCGCTGAAATTCTTAGCACTTCTTTATCCACAAGAGAACGGAGACATAGCTCTCCTTTGAAAGATACTCTTTGGTTAAATAAAATGAATGAAGAACTGAATTTGAAACTTCATCATGCTGAAGCTCTAGTCATCAGCTATCAAGAAGAGATCAGTCATCTGAAAATGACCATTTTAGATCTTCAAAGGAAGCTAATTAATGCAGAGAATAAAAAAGAAACAATCACAGAAGGTTATGGGGAAAATTATGACTTGGGTACTGACATTACTTTGCAAGATTTCTCACAATTGCAAGAAAAAGGTATGAATTCTTTTGAGGTATGAACATTGAACTTTTCAATGAATGTCTTTTGAAATTATGTTTTATTTTTCAGTGAGACATGTATTATCAAATGGAGGAGGAGATTGCACAGAATTGTTGCAACTGATAGATGAACAATCTAGACTGACTGAAAAATTGATGGAAGAGGCAAAAAGGGAAAAGGAAGATTTGCAGCAACAGGTAAACTGCAACTTCTTCTTATAAAGGATGCACCGATTGCATGTATTTTCATTATATAGAGTTGGTATGCTACATACAAAACAGTTGTGGTGTATTGCATATTGAAGACGAGTTTTGTATTTGGTAGTCCATTATTTTATCTGTATCTACGAGCTTAGTTGTTCATACATTGCACAAGACATTCTTTTTTTGTTTTTGAACTCATAATGAACAGTCTCATTATCCATGCATCAATATTTAACTTCTAATAGATTCGATTATCATCTGACAAGTATTTCAATCGATAGATGATCTCGTGTTCAGAAATCGATAGAAAAAAATTTACGATAAAAACGTATGAAATAAAAGAGAAAGAAAAGAAAGAAAAAAGATAAACGACCGGTAAAAATGTATAGCTCCGTGATGCAGCTTTTTAGAAAGATTGATTGGCGTTCTGTTATCTTGCCAGCAGGTGCCTTTAGAACCTACTCCTACCCCATACATTCACAGGGTTTGCCGCCGAAAGGTAAATTATAGAATTACTAATACTATTATAAAAAGCTGTTCCGTAAGTTAACTTTAACCGCAAACCGAGCAATATTTAACAATAAATTGACAAGAACGCTATGGACTCTCTCAATTCTGATGAAATGGTTTATCATAAGAATCTACTAAATTTCATGCCATCATTAAAAATAATAATTTCCTAATGATTAATCAAGGCATGTGTTACATTAAAAGTATGTTTATTGCTATTAATCTCTTATATGCATGCTATTAATATTGTGAATTAACTCTTCCTTATCCTCCCTGGTTGCATTAATTTAATAACAAAGAATACGTTTGAAGAAAGTTGATGAGCATTTTTCATGAGTATTTCAGAACACTTTATTTTTGTTGCTATTTATTTTGCATAAAGGCATTTGTTTTTAGTTTTATTTTTGATTGTGATTGATTAAATATGTGTTGATATAAATAATATTAAAGTTTATAACTCATGTAGCTGCTGAAGTGTACATTTTATTGATTATTTTTATTCAAGTTTTCTACTTTCTGCTTTTTAAGTGTTCGATTTTATTGATATTAACTGAAAGAAAATATGTGTAGATTGAGGCAGCAGATAAGCAATTAAAAGCAACTCGCAGATTTCTGGATGAGCAAGCAAGCGAAAGAGAAGCTGAGAGAGATGAAGCAGCGAAACAAGTATATGTTCTGCAGGAACAGCTTAAAGAACGTGAACGAGAAAAGGAACGAGATCAACGCATAACATCTGAGGTGAGTCCTTGGGCATTATATTCATACTATTTAACAATACAATAATTTGATATAAACAATTTACGATTCTAATTGAAATATTCATTCGCACCCAAAACATCTGCTTTTTTGGATACTTTACATGGTGCGGACTAAATAATACATTTTAATCAAGTTCAGAAATTTCTTAAAATGATTATTTCTATTTGTCTTGGATTGGGATTTTTTAATGATCTTTACTGATCTCATATAAATTGATCAAACTAATAGATAACTTTTGGGATATCATAATTGAGTTCATTTTTTATGGTCAGCTATATTGTCAGCTATATTATTAAGTAATTAGGCAGCTTATAACACGCATTATCACTAACCTATTAACACGAGTTTTCCTGCACTCTGGTTTTGGTTTCTGTTTGTCGCACAAAGCAGTCTACACTATCACCCGAAGCAACGTCAGACGTCCCTGTGCTTCAAGCATCTGACATCGGTGCAGTTGTGAGTGGTCATTTACTTATGAGAATTAATACATTTAATAATATTTCAGATCCAGGCTCTACTAAGTACAAAGTGTACATTTCATTTTAATAAAAATTAAGATGATATGCATGTATCTTTTATTTTGTCACTTTGACAATTATTTTTTGTGTGCTTTACATATGGTGATGCTTTCCAGCATTTAATTTATGGTTGTGGTAATGGAATAAACTTAGCAATTGCGAAGTTTCATTAAAAAGTTGAATGCAATGTAGGTGGAGGTTCTAGAGTCTCAGATGAGAGAGATGTCCTCTCTTATGTCTGACACAGAGGCCAGAAAATCTGAAACCGAGAGTGAACTGAAAGCAGCTATCGACAAGATTTGGGTACTTAGAGAAATCATCACAGACTTGGAACAACAACTACAGATCAAAACTGAGAAGGAAGAATCTCTTCAATTACAAATCAATCAATTAGAAACTGTGATTGCTGCGCAGACTAAGAACCAGCATGAGTTGGTCCAAGAACTGGATGCTGTTAAGATGGGTAGTGAAAGCAAGCAACTAAATGAACATATTATTCACTTACAGGTAAATTTTAATGAAATACTTAACTTTGTTAGAACATACATTTTTAAAAATACGATTTTGTAGGAGGAATTAAGAAAACACAAGTTAAGTTCTGAACAATTCAACGTGAATTCTGCGGCATTGAAGCAAATGAAAACAGAACTTCGCGATATGCAGAATCATTTAACTAAAAGAATTAGAGAACTGGAATCTGCGCACATGTGTAGTTCCAATTTGAGTTTGAGTCAACCAAGCGAAGATGTCTCTATTAGAGAGCAAATAGATGCCTCGCGGTGCCCTACTCCCGATGATCCTACTGCACCTCCAATGTTACCACTCGACCAGTTACTTAAACTTAAGGAGAAAATGTTGAAACATGCCAGAGCTGAAGAAGTAGCACTAAAAAGAATCAAAGATTTAGAATTGCAAGTTACTGCTTTCAAAAACCAGAACGAGGAATTGCAAGCAGAGCAGGAAATTCTTCAGCAAACCACTTCTGAGCAATTGTTTCAAATAGAAGCAATGCGTGGTAGATTGGAGCAACACAAGCAAAGCGCTCCATTTGCCCAGAGACAGGCTACATCACGCTTAGAACTACAACTTCATGAAGCTAATGCCAAGTTTCAATCTTTAGAACGAACCATTGCTGACAAAGATTTAGAATTACAGGACATGAAGAATCAATTGGATAGAATTAATCAATTATTGCAAGAGAAGGAAGCAGAGATTGCAAATGTGGTGCAAGTAGAAAGTGCTACTATTCAGAAGTTGAAAGAGCACGTAGAAATTATTGAAGAGGAGAAAAAGATTCTTCAGGCGAAAGTTGGTGTTCAAGAGCATGCACAGTTAGAATTACCGAGACTAATAGACAGTATGTTAGCAGACAAGAACGAGGAGATAGATCACTTGAAGGAACAATTATCCAAAAAAGAAAAGCAACTTGAGATATATTCTTCACTGAATCTGGACGAAACACAATTAAGAGAGTTGGTACGACAGACAGAGGCAAAGAATAGTGCACGTACATTGAGCGATATTCTATCAATTCACTCGGAATGCGAAGAGACTACGGAAGCCATCAGAGGAGCCAACACGACACAAAACTTACCTAACGTATCTGCTTTCAAAGTTCCTACTTCACCTGTTCCAAAAAGTATAGATAATTCAACTGTACCTTTAATGGACAGCACTAAGATAATTCAGGTTCCTCTTCTAGACCTTGGTTCTCAAAGTCTATCAGCAAATTCCAGTCAACAATCTAGAATCTTAGACTTGCTGGTCAGTGGCCAGGAGTCGAAATCTTCCACGTCGGAAAACAATAATTCTAACGACAGAACTGACCATGCTACACAGTCAACAAAACAGTGTACTCAAACGCAAGAATTACCACAAAGAGAACGTGCTGATGAGAGAAGTGACGACAGTAGTAGTAATAGATCTTATGTTCCTTCAATGAAATACACTCAGACGTCCATCAATGAGACATTGAAAGAGGTGGAGAACTTGGAAATTCAATTACAGGCAGTAAGAGAGGAATTAGATATGAAATCAGCAATTTTGACTAAAAGAGAAGATGATTTAATAGCTCTGCAGAAACTTTACGACGAGTTGCAAATGGAATTTAAAAATGTTGTGGAGACACTATCCAGAGATAAGTGTTTCTATCAGAATCAATATGAATTGTCACGAGTATCAGAGAATAAAATAAAAAAAGATCTTCAGGAAATAGAAAATATTTTAAAACTGAGTAATGAAGAAATGCAAGACCACAAAAATAAGATACAAATGAACGAAAAAATTATAATAGAATTGAATTTAGAGAATAATAAGTTAAAAAAGGATATCGAAGAGAAGGAACAAGAATTAGGACAGACACGGGAATATACTATTCTTCTCCAGGAACAGGCAAAGGAGTTACAGAAATTCAGAGATGCAATTCTCGAAAAAGATATTACTATCGAAACTATCCAAACCCGCAATATTGAGATCGAAAATGAAAATAAACAGTTGTACGAATTCAAAACAAAGTACCAATCTACCAAACAAGAATTATTAGAATGTCAGAATGAAATTCAAAGACTGACCGAAGGTCTAAACAACAGGGATCAGGTCATTAGAAGATTGGAAGAAATGGCCAGACGCACCAGCTTCTCAGGAACATCCTCACCTTCTAACGAAAAGGATCAAGAAATCCATCATCTGCAGGAATACTTAAAAGAAAAAGATAAAGTGATTAGACAAATGAGTGACGATAGCAAAAGTCTGCACAAGGCTTTGGAAGCTATACAGAATAAGATGAAGGAATCTGGAAATGTTGTGGAGTTGAGAAAGAAGTTGAAGGATGAAAGAAAGATAAATGCTGAACTGAGGAATATGGTGGATAATCTAAATAAAGATCTGTCTGACCTAAAGTTACCTGCACGTAAGTATTTCTTTATATAAATTAAAAATATAGTTTTATTACAATAATTATTTATTGTATGAATTTGCAGAACGATTGCAAGATGATATCGACATCGAAGACATGGTGCAAAGAGAGTTAAATTTATCGGCACACTTAGATAGAAAGATTATGAACGCCATAGAAAACGATGACGAGGATAAGAAAAAGACAGAAAGACAAACTCCTTATCAGGATTTCCAAGAAGCAAAATATATAGAACTAAAATTAAAACTGAGTCAAGCTAATAAAATCAATGAAGAATTGAAGAAGCTGAAAGATGATTTGGAGATAGAAACAGAAATGCTCAAGTGCCAGATAACAGAATACGAAGGTCGAATTTTCCAACTAAAGTCAGATTTAACAGAGAAATCAAAGAAAATAGCGAAACTAGATGAAGAATTATCTTCAGAGAAGAATTTGATGAGAAAATTAAAGATTCAGATTGAAAAGGAGCATAGGGCAATGCAAGTTGGTTGTTCAGAATTAATAGAGACCCTCCAGAGTAAGTTGAAGAATTCTTTAGACAATGAGGTGAAGCTTAAAAATGAATTGTCCTTGCTACAAGATGAGCATAAGAATTTAGAGATTCAACTGAGTTTGATGAAAGACCATGTACAATCCCAGAAAGTCGATGACTTATCAAAATTAACAGATTTAGAAGCTGAGAGGAAGAAATATCTGTCATTAATGGAAAGCTTTGAAAAAGAAGGAAGGGAAAACACAGAGCTGAAGGACACTTTGAGGAAATTACAGATGGAGAAGAATCATTTTGAGAAGCAATTAGAAGTGGAAGTGGAGAAAAATGAGAACTTAACAAGTAATCTGGTTTTGATAAAGGGAACTAATGATCACTTGCAAACTGATCTCAGGCGTACCAAAGAAGAACTAAAAGCAAAACAAGAAGAAGGCGAATGGTTACAGAAGAGAATTAAAACCATGTCTGATGCGGAAACTAAGAGACAAGAACAAAAGATCAGTGAACATAGTGAGCTTAAGGCTTTGAGGAGAGAAATCAATAATGCTAGAGATGTGATAGTTAGTATAAGAAAATATTAATTTATAACTACTAGTTTTTGTGATTTTTTTTCACGTGATTAATTTTTCAATAGATGGATTTGGAGGCTGACATGAAACAGTCAAAGAGAGAATTAACAGAATCTCTAGAACGGGAGATGAAGCTAGCTGAGACTTTTAAAGAAAGGGAAACTGATCTACTTAAAAAGTTATCGGCCGTCAAAGATGAGGAGAAGAACTCTAGGGATGTGATTGCTGAGTTACAACAAGAAATAAAAGCATGTACAAGGAGAGAATTGGAGCTCACAAAGGAACTGAAGAGCAGATTTACAAACGAGAATATGCCTACAAAATTCATGCAAAAGATAAATGTAATGAACTTAATATTTTCTAACTTTTAGTAATAAACTTCTAGTTATCTTATGAATTGTTGTATTTTATGACTGATATTATGGTTTATAGGATCTCAGTGAAGTTAATGAAAAATACATGACAGAAAAGACTGTACTTCAAGAGAAGTTGATAAAATCAAGGGAAGAGAAGGAAAAATTGAACCAACGAATTAAATTACTCGAAGATCAAATCAAACGAAATAAGGGACCTCAAGTTTCAAATGCTAGAATCCCAGAAATAGAAAAGGTAATTTCTATCTTTTTTTCATATATTCATTTTGTGCTCAATGATACGATAATATTCTTTTTTACAGTTGCAACATTTTTATGGAAAGTTTCTGCGAGCGGAAAGCAGACGCAAGGCTCTAACATATCAGAAACGATATTTGTTAATTGTAATTGGTAGCTACCAATTGTCTGAAGAAAATACTCTATGTGTACTCGCCCAATTGACCAGAGACCAACGATCCTACGCTGTGGTAGGCCGTAACAAGAAATCGCCAAAAGTTCGATTTAGGAGTGCGGTGCTTGTTTTGATTAGTATCCATAGAATGAAGTGGTTAATCGTGAGATGGAATATTGGCAGACGAATTGGTGTGAAAACTCTATTATGGAACACGGATCAGTCTTTTCTACCAATTCAAAAAGCTGCCATAAATCATTCGCCTCCTGTTCGAGATAAGACTACCGCAAAGTAAGTGAAGAATTATTAGAAAATAAACATTTTAACTATCTGAAATTCGATTTTTAGTGGAGATGGTGGTTTTGACACGTTTGAACAGTATTGCCAACGACTGAAGAATGTTCAGCAGAGATTGGGTTTAGCAGAGGCTGGGAATCTTCAGATTATTCCAGAATAGTATTACGTTTTGTACCTAAGTTCTGTAAGTATCGTAAACAGTGATTTAACTATCACGTCACTGTTTTCTGAATGCGGTCATTATTGTGTGATCCGCATGGGATTGCTGTTTTCGATTGTTTCGCCAATCGAAAACGTTCGAAACTGGGCATTTTTATCGGAAAACATGTTGTTGCAAAAATTTGAGCTTCTTTCAGCTGTATTTTTTCTACAAATTGTATATAAAATTGTAGCATAGAAAATACGATTTGTCGAACACGTGTTAAATTTCCACACCAATTATTAGAGGATGATGTATTATGCGTGCTATAATTTTAATATTATCCGTACCCGTAATATTTTTAAATAATTGAACAAGATGACGTCATACTAGTGCTTATATATTGTGTTTTACCAAAGTTACTGATAGAAATATTGCTCTTAAGCATACTGTTATTATAAGGATACAAACCTGTGCCTTGTACATTGTAATAAGTGTTCTATTATTTATTTGTTGATGATCTGTACGTTTTTATATTGTGAATAAAAAATAAAATACCTTTTTATCAGATCGTGATTCGTTGATAGGAATAGATTAATGAACCACCCGTTTATAGTAGTTTACGATATAAGTATGTATTTTAACAAAAGAAAGTATCTATAATTTCATTTTACATTTCAGTGCCTCGTATATCTTTTTTGGATAAATATCATTTTGTACAGCTTTGCGATGCTAGTCTCGACCTGTGGAATTTTTTGGTGAGTAGATAAGTGATTTAACAGCACTTTAAGTATAATCGTTCTTATACGAGGATTCTGGTCCATTGTAAATTTAACGAGAACTAATTTTACGTTAACGAGGAAATGATACTAATTAACAATGGCAAAGACGGTGAATTACATAGGATTCTATAATTTCCTCAAGAACATTGAAAACACTAAACACAATTTCTGCTTGACAAAAGTTATTTACATATGTACAGTGAGATGTGTGATAAAATATATGGCGATCATCTAGCTTTATATGTATATATATGTATATTTAAAGCTACAATCGATTTTGTAAGACGTAATCTAAGAATGTAAGGCTTCCTTTTTCTTATTCGTTCGAAGACATAGTATCTAAACAGTGCAAATTTTACTATCATTTTTTTCATATTTTATATTTTGATATTCCCGTAATAAAGCATCGATTTCTTAACGATAAAAGAAATTCGATGGGCATACGTTGCAATTCGTTTTCATAAATTTTTAATACTTTCGTCATAAAATATTCAAACGTTAGTACTTATTACTTATTCGTATGAAGATTCAAATATACATTGCGTTGCGTCTCGCTTCCGGTTTAAGTATAAGGAGCTTGTAGAATGTTCGATTTTCAGTTCCTGATTGATTTTCATTTCTTTGATTTCTCGCTAGAACGTCAACACGTTGATTGCCACGTGAATTTTACATATTTTATCCCAAATGTACTACACCACAATATTAGTTTTTACAAAATATTACATCGTGTTTGTGCACTTTATTCAGATAATTAGAGTGCGGATTTTTATGCATCTATAGAAAATTTGAAAGTGGAAAATTGCGCAGAATATACATGATATGAAAAAATATATGAAATATCCAAAGTATAATGCAGGGGTAAAGCAACTTTTTACCGAATCTGTATTTTATTTATTGTTGTAATTATATTCATATTTATATTCGTATTTATTATTGTAATTATATTCATATATGAATGACTTTAAAAATATGAATTTGTGTTAAATTCCGGATTTTACTGATAATATTATCTGTTATTTACGTTGTTGAAAATCTTTTCCATGAAATTTATATTATTTTAAGCATCCTAAAATATTTAGTAAAACGTGTGTCACCACCGTGGCAATCAATGTGTTAAACAAACTATAGCCTTTGATAAAAAATTTTTATCTGGAAATTTTAAAACCGATCTTTTAATTATCCGCGCTTATGATTGGTACACGCATCCTTGAAGTTAGTTGCATTGAATGGTCCGAAATAATCGTCGTGAAGTTGTCTGATGATCGTCTCAATCGGGCACAATTTCGAATCTCGCCGCGTTTTTTCCACTTCATTGCGCTCGATGTAACTGACACTGTAAAAATTTGCATTTCTACAGAACGGAATTTTTTGGGTGAAATCTTTTCCATTGATCACCACCCGGAAGTAGAAATCACTGGCTACGTGGTTTTCGTTCTTCGGATTTATCCGATAGACCTCGATTACGAAGCGGGAAGCATAATGTGGCATAGTCAACTTGTCAGAAAAAATTCCAAGAGCGGTTGCGAGGTATTCCAGTGTTTTATCATGGCCAGAGTATAAAACTATTTTGGGTTTGGCCTCGGAGATAATTCGTAGCATGTAGGAAACGATATTTCGAAGTAGTCCATAAGCTCTTAGCAATCCATATTTTCTACGGCTACTGCTCTTTGCCACTTGTTTAGACTCCCATTCTGTATAAGTGAACAAACCTGTTACGTGTTCAGTCTTCACACAAACCCTCTGAGTGTTAAAATCTATGCAGGGCAAGGAAGCACCATGGCAGATGTATGTTAACAATGCATCCTTCAAAGTATTTGGATCTGTCATTTGGGCTTGATCAGGGATCTCAAAGACTGTATTGGAAGCCTGTCGTATAAGCTCAGCCACCGCTGGATGAGATTTCAAATGATCAGACATTTCCTGTAACAAGAAACATTGTGTTAAGAAGATTCAACTTATGTTAACTTCATAATAGAGGCTAAAATTTAATTACTTTTAGGTGCTGTTTGAAGAATTTTTCAGCGGCGGGACACGCACAGTCTGTGTTACAAAAAGCATAGCTTTGACTTTCTTGCATAGTTATTTTGGCTAGATTTTGGAAACCATCTGTCTCTAGTAGGGCATAGAGTAAAGCAACTGCACTTTGGACTGTTCTTCGATACCTAGTGCTATACACAACAATGTCTTTGCTGGATATAGAACCATTTCCCAGATTCAATTTGTGATAATAAGCATTTCTAAGTACGATTCCAGTTTTTAACAATTGTCCAATGCCAAGCGTAGTCAACTGACCAATTCTGCAATCTTTAGAGTTGCTGGGCAGCATAGGAAAACCATGGAATGGACCTAAGAATTGTGCCCAAGCAGTTCTGGAGTAGCTGGAGACATTTTGCAAGAAGTTCACATAGTTCTGGTATAAACTTTCTAATTCAGGTATGGAATTAAAATCTCCACCGCAATTTACTATGCTTATATTTCTAATATGCGCCAAAGGACCCCTGTCTCCATGCCGAACAAATACTAAAATCCCTCCCAATGTCAAATTTCCATCCAATTTTCCTAAATATGGAAAAACCACATGATTCTTCCATTGGCTTATTAATTAATGATTACTTAATAATTGTAAAATATTTTGTTTGCTATACCTTCTGTTTCTGCTGTGATATCACTTGGAGGATTACAAAATTGAAATATCTTTTTGGTTCTCATATCGGTTTTCAAATTCCTGGGAAATTCCCTGATGGAAATATCATTGTCTAGAACTCTGGCTTGCACTGAGCTCTTTTCATCTATTCCAATGTACTTGTACATACCTATATAATTCAACAAAACAGTTTTATTTTAAACAATTGCATTATCTTGGAATCCATATACATGAATATTTATATAAACGATAGGATGGCATTTAATCCGCTTGCTATAAAAAGAAGTAACAAGAAAGAGATCAGATGGCAAAGGGTTCTTTAACCGTGTTTACGTATACGGCTCACAATAGGCCAACGAAGCCGATAATGTGAAATCGCGTATGTGCTAGTTAATCGCATTATTACGTGTGTTTATTTACGAACGCTCACGCTACGATAAAATAATGCATTGTTATCAACGTGCTTTTCAAAGAAGCATTACTTATTATATATTTAAAAGAAACAAATACAACAATAAATAAAAATGAAACCTTCTTACAAAAATAAATATCGAATGCATGGAACAATTAGGATATATGCTGAAAACAGAAAGAAAAAAGATAGAAGTCGAGGAAAAACATGTCAGGTTTCTTTAGTTACCAGCAACGAGGAGAAAGATCCACACGCTGAGAATGACATAGCAATAGAACGCTCGATGCTGGTAAGAAAGTCGGACCATTTCCGCCAACATCCTGCGGCCGATCCTGGATCCAGCCAGGACGTTCCTGAATCTCACGACCTCGACGTCGAGGACGTAGCTGACGGTAACACCAAATCGAACAACCAGAGTAAATCCGGTTCAACGACACTTCTCCAAGCTGCATCCTCTCTTCTCAACGATCCTGCTGCATAATTCTACCCTGATAGCTTTTGGAGAACTCAAAGGGATGAAAATCCCGTGAACTACGTCGTCAAGCGAATTTCTCACGTCCCTCCTCGACACTGGCTCCAACCAGAATACTTCGGTGGATGCAGATGCTGACCTACTCTCTGACATTATCCTTAAACTAATTTTATTTTACTATTAATTATTTGTTTATTTTCGTGATTTATCGCCGTTGAAGGTGTTGAGCTTTTATATTAAATTAATTATCGTTACTCGTTTACGATTAGTTAACGGACTGCATGTAGATGTAATATTGACGATTCTCGTTGAATTTGTTTACGTTTATAATATCATTTTACTATTTCACAGGTTTGTACATTTAGTAAGAACTTCCTAACAGATGTGGAAAGTATATCGAGTACCTCCGTACTCACGTTAAATCGCAGCAGGTTAGTATCGAGCGCAGGCGCCTTTCTTTTTCCTCGCAAATCTCTTTACACTTTAATTTTATATACTTTCAGGCTCGTTATCTGCATTGTTTGGACGATTCGATTACGAAAAAAGAAGTTGAAAGAGTCGATGAACGACCCCTTTCCCAGAAGCTCCTTTATCACGAAAATAATTCAAGGAAAATATCTCTTTCGCGCGGAACATTTACCCTTCTTCGATTATTATCACCAAATTTTCATACATATTTACAAATTTGCGTTTTTACAATGATAATAACAATATCGAATTATCATACGTCAAGCGTGGATCAACGAGTTTCGATGACATTTCATGACAACAATCTTCACTTTTTACATCTGAGTCATTTTACTTCAAGAATTAAAGTTTAAAGAGATCACTCACAACGAAGATCGAGCGAAGCTACAACCTTACTAAAACATTTTTCTGCGACTACGACAGGTAAGCCGCGCTCCTTGCGACAGTAGGTTATCGAAGCGCGCTTGCGCGCAATGTGTGCGGCTCGATTGGCCTGGTCTCTGTTTTAAATCCATTTCGATCCGCGGTCGAGAGAGCTGGAAAGAGGTTTGCTTCAACGATGGGAATGCGCGATATTCAACGGTTCATCAAACTGGACTCAGAAAAATATAAAAATCTATGCTAGAAGAAAGAACAAATAACTAACAATTTCACGTACAATACTTGAAATCTCTTTTTGTCTCTATACTTTAACTTCTTTTCTTAATTTAATTATTCAATATATTTAATTATATTATTTGTATAAATATTATAGTTGGAGGAGAAAAGACACGTAAAAACAGTTTTTGATATGACGGTCAACATTTGAATTTGATATTTAGAAAATTAAATTTTAATTAAATATCATTAATTACTTTTAACGTTCATTCTAATGCTATACAAATATATTGCAAGAACAAAGTAATTACTTTAGTATATAGTGTTTGTATGAGCATTCGTTAGGTAAATCTTTGTCAAACGCAGATTCTCGGTTAAAAGAGTGAAAATAGGTGAGCTGGGAGCGCAGGCGCTGGTGTATCTATTTCCGATTTCAGGTGTACGTCTGAATCTTGTCTTGCTTATCCTGCAAACATTTTATTGATGCTTTCAAATTAATTTTAATAATCTGTAATGAAATCTCACGCAAACGTGAAATATATGATTTAACGAAGACGAGCTTTACTTTCATCTTCCAATACTTTCGATATTTTAATTCTTTTTATTATGTACTTATTTATAGAGTTTATTTTATTATATGTTATAAAAAGAGCAAAGATGTTAGACGACTTTAAGATCCTTATCAGTACTTATTTCTATCCGATATTTTACAGAGGAAGAAGATTAATGTTTTCACGGAAAAGCTTGGAGATTCGTCAACTAAGGAAACAGGTAATAAGTAATATCAGTTAGTTGAACAACTCGAATACTTGATACTCGGATTACTGAATAATTCACCAGTGTATTTCATAGCACTGATCCACTATTTTTGCCATTTCTGGCTATCGAACATCTACCTACAGAGGGTGGGGATGTCTAGGCGGAGGCACTGAATTGATAATCAGTCGGCAGACGGCGTAGACGAAGTTGATTACGGTTCCACGAGGCGAGATACGCGGGTAACTCGAGCTAACTGACATGATATGAGAGCTCGAGACATCAACTATGGACAATCTAGCCATCAGCCTTAAGCAGAATATATTTACGGTAGACGTATGCCACACGTGTGCCCAGCTCCTCCTAGAGCCACAAAATGACGTCAACATCCGTTTCCTCGTTGTCGTTTAGCACACCATACAAAATGTATGTATCAAGATGTTTGTAAGTACAAAAGGTTGGAATTGACTATTTTAATCAGCTAAGTTGAAATAGGCAGTATTTATTATAGCTTTATCGAGGTCTAGGATAATAGGGCAATAGGTCTCTAAAAAACTGGCGCAGCAGGCACAAGAATATTATAAAAACACAGTAGAGTTATGGAGAGCTTTACTTTCCATTGCTTGTTCTGCTAGTATTTTTGCAATAATGATGATGAATTATTGTTGAGGATAGATTGCGAAACAAAAAGATTCCCGATTTCTTAATTGAAATCTGGATTGACGCAAGGACACGGAAACTATAGTTGCATAAGGAATCTCGCGTACTCGGCTGTGGAGACAGAGTTACTGAACTAAATTTTCAAGGATTCATGTATGGTAATCGAACAGTATAATGGAACGAAAATTAAACACGAAGAAAAACGCGATAAGATCATATACAATAATAAAAAGTGCCAGTAAGATGGCGAAAGATACAAGGTCGTATGCTATGCTAATAAGATGATCCTTGAGCGATCATTTTATTAATCAAATCAAGCCCTCTGTGGTGACACGTTCGTACAAGTAGAGCGCCATTATACACAATTAAATGCAGAGCATTCCGCAATAGAGGCGCGCATAATCACCGATTGCTTTTCGCGCCATCGTTATGGTGGCAATGATCTTGCCAAGGCTACAAGATCAAGCACGACGATCATCACGACGGATAATAATCGACACAGTTACATTACTGTGAAATTAGATTTCTACCATAGACGAGGTATAGAATAGACATGGCATCTTATTACCTTTATATTAGGTCAAAATAAGGCTTTAATCCTTCTTTGATAGTATGCAATACACATAAACAATTATTTATGAATTTACTTATGAAACAGAAAAACAACAACTTTTTCACTTTTTTCTATTTGTTAATATATTTGAATTATTGAAATATATTTATTAATAATAGTATGAATAATCAAATGAAATACTATAATGATACTTTTACTAATACCAGATTCTATTTAATAATAGACAGGTATACTTGCATAATACAAATTTCCCGTTAGATCGTAATTTTATTCATAATTGCTAGTGGATATTTCCTTAAATATGTCTTCTATTCATCAATTTAATCAACTGTCATATTTTGTTAAAGGTTTGTCACTCCTTTTCCTTCTTTTTGCTTCCTGAAAACATAGTGGTGCTTCAAAAGCCAAGAATGTAAGCATCTTTGAATATTATATGTCAATTATGTAGTTATATTTTGTGAAACAACTAGAACTACGGGCGTAAACACTTTCATTTCTTCTCTAGTATTACGTATGTACAATTATTTAATTTATACATCAATTAATAGCAAAGTAAACGATAACAAAGAATTATTTTCGATTAAAGAAATTTCTTTTTTCATTATAATTTTGCTATCAATTCTCAACAACTATTCTAAGTTACTAATTATTAATAATTTTTAATAATAATAACATTTCTATTAAATAGATATATTCATAAAGCATGGTAGGATAATTTTTCGCATTCTTTTCTTCTATTTATTGATATGTTTTAATTACTTATTAATAATATATATATATTAATAACAGTATGAATATTTAAATAATATATCGTAGTGTTACTTTTACTATAGCCTACTTTACTATACCATATTTTATTTAATAATAGATAGTTATAAGACACGAAAATTTTCCGTTAAGAGCATAATTTTATTCGCAATTGGCAATGAACATTACCTTAAATATGTTGTTTATTTAACAATTTAATTAATTTGACCATTTGATTAGATTGAATTATCGCGCGCTCATATGGAAGGAAGTTCGTTCCTATTGGCAGAAAATATTGCAAACTCAAACCGAGCGCCCCTATTGGCGGAGGCTATATTAAAGTCTCCACGATTGGTAATTTAGGATTAGTATTGAAATTCCTGGAGCCAGTGTACGTCGCGTCACATCGTCATTATTAGTATCTTAATTTCGATTTTATCATCATTTTTACGCTTCTATCAGCATCATCAGAATAGTACGTTTTTATTTATTCACTTATCAATTATCATTTTTAGTAAAATTAAGTAGTTTTCCGAAATTTCTTTGTACTTTTATCGTTGATTGTATATTTGACGATTAGAGTCATCGATACTTTATATTACGGGCCTCTGAAGCGTAATTTGAATTCTATTATTGATTTATTTTGCTATAATTTGTTCAAATATTATAAGTTATTGGTTTTTTGTACATTTACTTGAAATTGTTGGTTTTCCTTTGTATATATTATTCGCTGATGAAAGACTAGCAGTTTACAACACTGAGGCTATGGGAGATTCATAATCGATAATTTAAATCGATACAAAAACGACGCTGCAGATGATTAATAATCAATTTCTTGACTTCTTATGCAGATTTGGTAATGATTGAGTTATTATAACAAAGGCAGACGTATGTACATGTTTATTTTCGTTTTTTATTGGACCAATACTAATCTTTGCTACACAATTGCTATACAGCAGTGTAGAAGTAACTTATTAAGTGTATGAGAGCTTTGAATACTATATTCCAATTATGTAGTTAAATATTTGTGCATACGTTTTGCTTCAATTATTATCGAATAAAGTGCAACTTTTCAATTATTAGAATACCAATTTTTATCTTTATTTTATATGGACAAACAACGTAAGAACAAATTGTGATATTGAATATTTTATTACAGATTGTTTGTAACCTGCACTTGTGCCATGGGTTTCGATGGTTCCTGTTTGATGACGTCATTGATAATGACTTTCTGGACTATGACGATCAGCATCGATGACAGGTTCTTCGCATCTGTGGTGAGTCGCATGTATTTTTGTTCCTCCGGTCACTCAATCATGTCGTAGGACGAAAGGTCCGAATCGGCACGGGTGATTGGTTGTATTACGTAGAATTTTTTGCGAGCACAGTGACCGCGGGTATTTATTATACTCGTGAGTAGTAACATTTCTTTTTTCTGTGTGTTATTTATTAGTTGAGGATAGGTCTTCTTGCACATCGCGTTTTTATATTATATTATTTGTTTTTATATTAATAGTATTAATATAATGATTCACTATAATTACTTCTAAAATCAGAATATACTAAAAATGTATATTTGCAGAAGCCAAATAACCATACAAATATACGTATATAAATGAGATGTGAATATTTGAATAAATGAGATAAGTGTCGGAATGACAACTGAATATTTCGTGGAGAAGTCGGATATTCTCCGATTTCGTTGCATTAAAAATGGAAATTATTTTTATTAATTGTTTGGCTTTTATATTTGTATTTGAGTATTAATTTAAAAAATAGAAAGATATCGAAGCTTAGTCCTTCCGTACAAAAATGTTTTGAATTTTATGCGCAAGAAGAAATTTCGCGACAGGCAGATCTCGGAATCGAAGCAACAAGTTTTCTGTACTGCTTTCATACTTTTCAAATTGTGCTTCGACGAAGGGATCGCCTGAGGTTGTTGGCATTAGTATCTTATCTTGATTCAATTATTAAATAAATTTCTTATTCCGTTTATTCTTTCTTTCAATATTAAAGTTTCAATAATTTGTTAGAGTTTAGAGTCAATTATTTGAGCGAATAATTATGTTATGTTGCTTTTTATGAACACATTCGATATTAGAATTTTGGTAATTCATTAAATTAATAAAGTAGAGTATACAGTGATCATAATTTGAAATAAAATTTGAAATTGCAAAATGAAGAACGATTAGCCCGTTAAATACAAAATAGATGCATAAATATCATTTTTAGTTAGGATTTTCAGGTTTAACCCCTTCCGTATTCGTTGCCAGGACCTCACTCACGTGCCCAGGTGCTACTTGGGTGAGAGAAAGGCAACGGGTACGATGACCATTGACAAATTTATAACAATTTCTAAGCGACTGACGATGCGTTAGTGTATCGTGAACGATGTACTTTCCACATTGTGCGTGTGGTTAGGCTGTGGAATTGCGTCGTTTTAGCTATTATTCCGTTCATTATAAATTTAAAGATGATAATGATAATTACTGGTACCAAATTTCGTACCACCTATCGTTTCTTTGAATTATGAATATTTATACGAATTACAATCAACAAGTCACAGGACTTACTTTTATCGTGTTGTTAGTAATGGTCGCTAACTTTCGTCAGTCGATTTCAGCAAAATGGTACGTACATTAGAGTGTGCAAGTTGTGTGTCAAACTCGGGTGTCGGAGGTGTCCCGGGACGTCCTCTCTAGTGTAGGTTCTTGCGCCCGAGTGGTATGTGTGAGAATCGTGGAGTGAGTGCGTTGGTGTGGTCTCTCTCTGGTCGGGTAGGCTCATTCTCGCGTGTTCAATCTATTTCAGGAAATGTAATTTGAAAAATGGATGGCAAAGCCTGGCACGGGGCAGAATGTCACGTCTCTGGCATAGTTGATCGATTTTTCGATTTTCGCGATCGTGGTCGCGAGTAGGTTTCGAAACGAGCGTTTATGTATTGCTCGAGCACGCACATGCGAACGGACAGCGATCGCTCTGATCGTTGTTCATCCATATGCATTTGGGCCAGCTTCCGCGATTTATATTTTTATTTCACCTTTATAAGTTATTTTTTGGTTTGCGATTTAGAAAGTCTCGAGCCTAGATGTAAGTTTCAGCGGGCATCGCGCCCGAAGAAAGAAGAGGCTATGAGCCGAAGAGGCCCGGCAAACTGCCACTCAAGAGGGCAACTACTAATGGCTGCCCATCCTCTGGGTCATCCAGATACAGAGCATGGGAAGTCATTCTTGTTACTATTTTGTCACTGTGCTCGTCTTTAGTATTTGTAGTAGTATTAGTTGTAATTTGTTTGTTGCCGACGTATATGTCGGCCCATCCTCATTTGGGCTAGTCGCGGTATTTGCATTAGCGTTGCGACTGATTAATTACGGTTTGGACTAGCGTTGCGATGAAAAAATGATCGCGTTTGCTTTAGTGTTACGAATTGTAAAATGTCGCGATTGTATTTTCGATCGTGAATTGCTAGAACTTATTAAAGCGTAAAATTAGAGTTTCTCGCGTTTTGTTTTACTTAAAGTTAAATTAAAGCGATGTTAATTTTGGATTAATTTCGTAGTACTACGGTTTCTGATTATCGATTATAATTGAAGTAGCTTTTATTCAATCTAGTAATAATAACTTACATTAAATCCGTTTTAAGAATTAGCGTTGCGATATATTTCATCGGGATTGCTTTCATAATTTTTTCGATTAGCGTTGCGTTGACGAATGATCGCGTTCTTGTAAGTAGCGTTGCGTCTATAAAATGCCCAGAATGTTCCACTGGAATTGTGGAAGCCTATCCCCGTTTCTGGATCACCTGAAGCAGCTAAGACAGTTGCACAGAGGTGGTCGTGCATCAGCAGCTTCGAACGTGGCTGCACTTGGACATCTCGGTATTAGCGTTGCGTATGTTGAAATATGAGTGCACAGATTAGTGTTTATTAGCGTTGCGTGAATAATGAATACCTTGCTGTGATGTGTGCTTTCGCGAATTTTTCATTTGTTTCTATCTTTTTTTTTGTCAAGACCAAATTAAATATAATTGCAAATGTAATAAAGCACTCTTCGCGGTTTATTTTGAGAAGATTTTATTTTATGATTACGGATTTAGTAAATTAGCGTTGCGAAATAGAAAAATGTTCCACTCACGGTTTGTTCGGTGTTGTATCGAGTGGATCGCCCTTCTGGCTCCTGGATTTTATTTCTTTTCCCTTTAGGCGTTTTGCAGTGGAAATACTGCAATGTATCGGTTTAATACTGATGAATACTTGTAACTTGGTATTGTATTACTTAAAATGATTTTTAATTGGTTTCATTTTGTAATTTCATGTATATTGCATTTGTAAAAAACTGACAAATGAAATACGAATATATTTGGATTATACGATACAAAAATTTTTTTACTAAATGAAAAATGCAAAATATAACATTTATAGAGTATTAATTCATTTGAAATATATATCAAGATATTATTTCGTTATTTTAGTGTGTAAATAGTAACCGTTCGTTATTAAAGTTACAATTATCTCGTCTACAGTATTTTCGATTAATTAATCAAACAGTAATTTTATAAACGTTTGAATTTGCTGCGCGTAAATTAAAATTGAATCGCGGTGATCGTTCGTTTTAAAAAGTCTTGCACAGAAAACATTCCATATTCCGTATTTCTTTGTTTGCCTTTGGCTGTCGATATTAAATTTATACCATCAATTCAAGATTTAATTGAAATTTTCTGTATCTTCAGGACGAGTCTCTATGTGCAGCCACCTCCACGTGGTGAGACTTAGGTAATCATTATTATTTGATATATAACTACTAATTGCATAACTACTAATTGTGAATTATAAAGCAAACAATATAAGTTAATTAGCTGCTATTGCAAACTTCCTTTACATATTATAGCTTACTATATATTTATTTTATATTAAGTTTCGTAAATTTACTGCGAAGAGTAAAATCTTGTGAAAAGATTTCGCTCGAGAAAGTGGCAGACAGTTAAGAATTGATGTGATTTGAAAAAGAACGAAGAAAATCATCGTATCTAGAGAAAGTCGTAGCTCGTCCCTATTTTTCGCATATGACAACCATGGGTGCTGTTGACACCTAGATTTCTAATCGATTTCATAATGCTTTACTTGCACGGTCTCGTGCAACACAAAGCTAGTTCTAGCAAAACACGGATTATTACGTCAGATAGTCGGCATTTTTAGTATGTTATCATCCAGATTGCAATCAGCGGACGTGCATTTCTGTCGGAATTAGTGTAACTCAAACGAAGACAAGTAGGAATGAAAGTAAATTACCCTTGCACAATTTGAAGTATGTACTTAGGTAGAGCAAGGACAATTTCGGAACTTCATGGTCACATTTATCGAGTATTTTCAATCTGAAACAACGTAATAACTAGATTGCGCACATTTATGAACATTCATATTTTTATAAATACGATTAAAGAACTCTAATCTAAATAGAAAATTGTCCTTTCACCTACCAACAATATTATCAAGAATATAGTATTTTAGGTATCTCATATTTTTATCTTTTTTATATTATTTTTCTATATCACGCGCATTCGGTGCATTCTTACAGCTTTAAGTTTCTTTTCAATTTCTCATAAATACATCAAAATCCGCAATATAATAATAACGCCTAACACTGTCACTTTTTTTAAGTATTTACAAAGATTACTTTGTCGTAACGTTTCGACGTTTGCATTAAAGAAACATGAGACTACCTATTTCTTTCACCCTCGACCGATCTGAACGAAAGTTACATTCTTCGTCTCTGTCGTGGAATTTATAAGTCATCGGGCAAAGCTCCTCCAATTCTCCAATTTCTTCTCTCTTCTCGATGATCTCCTGCTGGAAGTAGTGCAGGCACCTGAACAGGTAGAGAACGCGTAGAAACATCGATTCTTGTTCTCGATACGATCATCGACACCTGTCAGCCTCGCGGACGCTGTATTATCATCGTCTGACTTTCTTTCATAAATCATTTTCTTTCTCGAAGGTACTCGGCTCTACACGGTGTCTAAAAGTAAATATTCGCGCGTTTTGAACGTAATAATTGGATAAACTGTCGGAAATGACACGTTGAAAAAATATAATGGAAGTTGGTGTTGATTTTGTGGCGCGATTATCGTCATTATGAGGCCCGAAGGTCTTCATATTGTTCCCCATAGTAGCTGTTTATTCTGCTGGAACGATTGTCGGTCGTATTATAGTAATCTCGAGAACGGGGACGTGTCGGATTAACATAGAAAATTCGTAAATTGTGAGAATTAGAGCTTCGCGAAATACGGTTTGATTGTTATTTAAAAGAATGAGATATCACGTATGAAGATGAAAAATGTCATAAGTCACATATTTTGTGTTTCGCAAGCACGCAATTTTAAAATCCCCTACGGTTAGCAATCAATTTTCTATTAGCGATTTCTCTTTCTTTCTTCGATTTTGGTTTTATATTAATTTGACTTTGGCTATCAACTTATTTTATACTAGCAGCTTTCACTTGGTTTCGGTATTAAATTCTAATTTCACTCTCATTCAGTTTTACCTCACCAATTTGATTTTGTGTTACGTTTTGTTTGGCTCGTTTTGGCTGTGTTGCCATTAATTTTTTAATTCAGATTAAATTGTAGTGTTGTCTGTTATTTAATGCAATTGGCAATTAAACTCCACGTTTCGGCTAACCTGTTACGCGCAGGAGTACTGGCACGGGAGAGGATTAAAGTTGGTGAAAATAAATGTTCGCTTAATCCTATTATATTATTATAAATAATTATATTAAATATTATATATATTATATTAAATATTCTTCACAAAAAATGTTTTTGTTTATTCGTATTCTAATTGGATATTGACAGAATTGTCGTTGAAATTTCAAATACTCGAAGTTACAATCGTTCGCAATACGTTTTCACTCTTATTAATTACAAGATTTTAATTTGATAGATTTTCAATAATTTACAAATTAACAAATGCAAACACGTCGATTAACAAGACTAAGAAGAACTGGGAACTAATCACACAGAACTGAGGAATTAACTACTCTGAACTAAGGAATTATCTCTCTCTCCTCTATGTCGCTACGCTTATTTATATTTTGGTCTACCGTGGAGGGGTCGTCGTGTGACGGGTTATTCCGTGGAGGTTGTGAGGCTCGAATTTGCTTTCTATACAAATTGTTAAAATTTATTTAAATTTCAAATTGGAACGCTCACTCGCGCTATTGGTAGTTTTAGTCTACGTTACGGCGCGTGCGCAGCGCGGGACCTGACATTGATTATCAATTTATTTCATACTATCAGCTTTCACTTGGTATTATGTAAATTACTTCGATTTTACCTAACAACTAATTTTAACTATTTTACCAGCTTTGTTTTCGGTATGAAATTCGATTTTGATTCTTGATCAGCATTATGTTATCAACTCCTTTGTCTTTCTTTGATTTTCTCTATTAAATGTATATACGTGTAATATCGTGAACAAACTGCCTAAGAAATATCTGGTGAACCATGAACAATGTTGCGAGAAAGCCCAAGTGCCGACAGGCCAAAAGGGTCGGGAAACTTGAATCCACCAAGCGGCCCATCAATATGTTGTCTGTTTCTCGGTCGAATAGTTACGCGGAAGAAGGCGTTCGTGGTGGGGGTATGAGAAAAGGCAAAGGGATGCTTAAGGGGAAAGACGAATTAATCGGCAGTCGTTAACTAAGAGTCGAGTTGTGAGGAGTCGAGAGTTAACTTGGCAAGTTGTTACGAATTGCAAACTATTAGTTTTCAGTTGTGAATTATCTATCTAGTTGTATTAGTTGCAACACATTACTGTATTTAGTCAAATAACCATCGTTTCCTGTTTGATTCATTGTAAATAGATGCATCTATCGATAATCTTATCGTTTAGGATAAAAATCATTGGAAACTTTAATTTTTAATATTTCTGAATAAATAACGTATATCCTTTTTATATAAAGGATTAAAGGATATATACGTATATCCTTTTTACTTTCCTCTACTTCTCCAACTTGATAGATTTATGATCTACTTTTAAATCACACGTATGTCTTTGTATCTAATAAGGTTTCCAACTCAGCTACGTAAGCACATTTAACTTACTGCTTCCTTGTAGCTGACAGGCGTGGCACGAATTAAAAAAAAAGAAGAAAGAAAATTAGAAAATCAACAAAAATCATCTACCATTCTATTCCCATTCGATCGTATAATAAGCAATCGTTGCACATAGTATGGAGCTTAGTATACAGCTATAAGTAACAACGTGGCCTTTGTACGTCTGCTAAATAGCCGGATAGAGCATTTTCTCCGGTCAGAAGAGTTGGATGGCTTCCTGCTTCGTTCTTCCTTATCTCTAAATCGTAAATTGCTATCCTGGCTAATTATAGAGTCAGAAATTTGTATTAGAAGGGCATTAATCTCTCCTCTTACTTTGTAACGTGAAACTCGCATCTCGCCGGCGAAATGATCTTAATGGACGTTAATGAAACTCGTCCAGCATTCGTTTGTTGCGTGTCACATGCTATTCAGGTGTAATTTCTCCGGTCTGAACGTTTCGTTACGTAAATTAGAACGTATTAGTTACTCGATCCTCTCGCGAGGCTTCGTTTCGTGCTTCGTTCCACCGGTTTATCTTTCAACACTGTCCAAAAATCTCCTACAAAAGATACAAAATACCGCGATATTATCGTACACATTCTCCTACGATCAGTTTCTTTCCCCACTTTGCATACGTATTGTATATATATGTAGATGTGCTTGTATTTATGATTTGTCAATTTCTTTTAGTAATTTTCTCGTAGATCTCTGTTGGACGAACAATATTTAAGGATAGAAAATTATTAAAATGAACATTCCTCTTAATAATTTTTTCTTTAATAAAAACTCCATGTAAACTTAACTTAGACTCAACTGAAAGTTCTCAAAGGGATTCGTAGATAGAAAATGGAGCTTTACTGGTTCGATCGAGTCGATTGTCACGTAGGAGACACAAGAAATCACGAAAATGATAGATCGCTGGTGATTTAGTGACATCAATCCGCATCAACACCACGAGATGTCTACACATCTTTGGCGCGTACCCTCAATAGCCTTAAGAACCCACCATGGGTCTTGGCATTTTCATAGTTAAGGTCCTTCAGACCAAACAAGTATCTTTTATTTTAAGTGCCCCTTTATATTTATTATTTACTACGGATTGACACGGGAAAGTTAGTTTTTCTCACGTTCGGTATCTTCCATTAGCAACTTTCTCTCGGGGGCGACTAAAACCCTTCCTGGTCCATCAACCTTCTTATTATCCAATCGGAAGCGGTGTCTACTGCCTTCACTTTCCTAACCAAAATTGTCATCAACAAATCCGATGGTCCCTTGTTCTTAGACACACCCACCCCTATTTTTCCTCCGCCACAACATCGTCACTAAACTTACTTATTCTCTACCCTTAGAATAGTCAACATATGTTTACCGGTTTCTACCTTTAGACCAGTCGCGTACTTGATTTATACGTACGCGTCAGTGTATATTCAATTGTGACTATTAAGTGAAAAATAAAGCCTAATAGAAAAGAAAGTTAATGGTTGTGTTTCGGCTCAACCTTGTTTTTATCATATAACCCTCAAGTTTACGTGACAATCTCCTCGAGTCGCAGTTCGAACGTTTCACAAATAAGTTGAAAAAATTGAACTTTGTATATGATAATAAATCTTACTATGCAAATCCAACAGAATGACGGTTCAAAGTTATTGAGATATGTATAATTTTATGCGCTAGACTAGGTTAGGCGCGTAGTAGTAATGTATGCAAATATCAGTGTGTGGAAGTATGTGTGTGCGCGGCGTCTCGAAAACAAATGAATGTAAACTGTTCAGTCAGTCAACAGTCGGTCAACACTCGGTCAACAGTCGGCTATGGAAGGAAGTGCTGAGACGCGTGCGAGTGTGTATCGATGAATATCTTTGAAATCGCTTATCAAATAAATATATAACTATTCTAATATAAATTCCAAGTGTAAATTTAGTGTTCCTATACCATTATTTCGGCTATTAAGATCCAAAATTCTCAACAAAAGTGTTACAAGAGACTGGGCCGAGCGCGTATTTTGGAGCGTTTTCATACTGAGGTGTTAGTTCCTTTGGAGGGGTTGTCATCTGGTTATCTCTGAAGCGCCTATTCCGTTACCATTTGGTTATTGTTTCGATGGCTGTGGTATGCAGGATGTCTATTCTATCCTATTACTGTTTCTGAGCGGGTGGTCTTCTTGAGCGTGTGACACAATCGTAGGTCGTCTGTTTGGTAGATTTTTTACAATCAATTTTCATTGAGAATTATAAGTAAATTACTTTGGCGTGGTACTGTAACTTGGATTGTAAGAGTTTATAGTATGTTTGATTCTAGTTGAATCTAATGCTTCAATCTAAAGGGTATTGTCTTTTAGTCTGCGGATCTGATCCATCGTGTCAAGTAATTGGGTAACTAATGAGTTTTGGTGGTCGTTAACTCTTATATTATATCTGTTACTGAATTTCGATATTTCTTCTTTAACCGTGGGTATCTTAAAGTCGCGATGTATTGTTTCATTGGTAACATACCAAGATGCATCTATTAAGGATCTTAGAGTTTTTGATTGGAATCGTTGGAGAATTTCTATGTTGGAATTACTCGCTGTTCCCCATAGTTGGATCCCATAGATCCAAACAGGTTTTAATATGGCTTTATATATTATTATTTTACTCTACGTGTTTAAGTTGGAGCGTCTGCCAATGAGCCAGTAGAATTTTTTTAGTTTTAATTTCAGTTATTTGGATTTATCTACGATGTGCTATTTCCATATCATTCTTCTATCCAGAATCATGCCCAGATATCTGACTGTATCTTGTAGGTCATCTGTAACAATAAAATCAATAACTGTCCGTGTAGAAACGATACATCCGATAACGAGGACATCTGAGATCGCAATGAAACCTTTTTCTTGTTGATCCGCCCTAGCAAAAGGTTAGTCTGGAATATTCAATTTCTAATAATTGTCGTGAAAAGTAATTATCTCACGTGTGCACTTGGAACGTGCGATTCGTCGTTTCTTCGAAACGTGACTTATTTCTACCACACGACGCACAATAGAGTTTTACGTCATAAATTTCCATTGAGATTATTTCGCGAAACTCAATAATTGAACTCAAAAGCAAGACAGATCGTGTCCGTTTCCTGTGCGCTTATCGGTAATTTCTGAAATGTAATGAACGTACGTGATACGTACGATATCTTAGAAACGAAATTTTATTATTAGAATTTTATTTGCGATAGGGACGAGACGATGAACAATCGGAAGTTCGAATTTGCAGTGCAAATCGGCGTGCGGCTTCTCAGCGAGTCAATTGCGAATTGCATGGGAACGTGATACGATAACGTAATATGATAACGTGAAGATTATACGGCGAGGAAAATTGCAAACGAAGACTACTCGGGAAAGTTATGATAGGAAGTTCATTTTTGTTGATCTTTTTTCTGTTTCTTGTTTCATTTAGCGGATATCCGAAAAGGACTATTTTAAATTTATTTTTAAAGAGACCCGATAATTTCACAGTGTTTTATAAGAAACGACTAATAACAATCTTAGTTATGTCGGTTTGACGTAATTAATATTCATTTGTATAATCGACGTTCTTAATATTCTCTCGAGGTTTAAAGGCGCGATAAAAACACATCGTTTAGTTTCAAAATCAAACGAAAATTCATATATTTTCGACGTGCAGCTAGTTGACAACGTGTATATAGGTACTTTCGTTAACTGTTGGAAACCAGCATTTTTGCGTTAACTTGTTTCAGAACCTCTAATTACCTTGTTATATGAGGCGCGTACTGTATAACGAATTTAAAAATTGCTCTTCGACAAACGATAGGAAATGTGACTTATCGCTAAAATGCGGATTTTTATGCAAATTGGTTTCTCACCATCCTAGTGGAACAAATGGAATCTAATTGAAGAAATTTATTTCATTCGCACAAATATTATAACAAATACTTTACATATATATATATAATACGCAGTAGTAGTAGTATGTAGAATCGTATATATATATTTGTATATATATCGTATATATAATATATATTTTACTTTATTATATATATAATAAATATTTCATACGATTCTGCATACTATATATATGTATATATATATATATATGTGTGTAAAGTATTTGTTATAATATTCGTGCGAATGAAATAAATTTCTTAATAAATATTTTATATTCTCTATATATTTTATTTTATTATATATATATAATAAATATTTCGTACGACTCTGCATACTACGCGCCTTGTTGCGCATTTAAAATTTCCCATAGATGGATGAAAATCCGCAGTCTTGTTGCGTTTTTCACCCCATGGCGTGGTCTTGAAATGTTTCGAACCGAATCGTGACGGAGATCGTGATCGCATCCATAGAAAGTCTGCCTACGCTCTCGTGTAAATGCGTGTAAGCTGGGAAGGAAGTATCAAACTAGATAAGCGCAGCAACGTTCATTACTTCCGTCTAGCGTGGATGCTGCGCGTTATATTCGTTCGTCCGCTGTGAGATTCGTGAATTGGTCCCTTTCTAACGCATTCACGCAATCAGCCTGATGAATAGACACGCCTTCCCAGCATTTTTTACCCTGCCACTTCCTCCCTTGTTTCTACGAAGCCAGTCGGCACTCGCAAACAAACGCGCGATAAAAGGAACAAAGTGTAGAGTGGCGAGGACGAAGAAAACAGAGAAGGACTTCTTCGAACAAAATCTCTAAACGGAGGACTTCTTCGAACAAAAGTATCGTACACTGCGGACTGATAGATTTTACTTTTTTATTTTCTATGTTTTTACGAGGTTGGTGTATACGTCGCTGTTTTGAAGTTTGAATTTGCCGCGCCAATATCGCACATTCAATTCTGTCATATTTGTTAATTTGTTAATTACGTTGATTATCAACTATATCAAAGAGGAAGAAATTTTCGAGAAATCGGTACGTTCGATGTTAGGAAGATTTATAGTGAGAATGTGACGCTTCGTTGTCGTGACATTGACGCATAATCAGAATATTCGTGCGATCTTCTTACGTGAACCGTAAATGTAGAAAAAGCGTGACGAAGGTTTCTGGAAACGTAAGATTATAATTTAGGGAAGGTTAAAGACGTTTCCTGTTCCATTTAAGTAATTCCTTGATACGTAAATTATTTTTAAGAGATTCGTTAAAATTTTAGCAGCTCCGTTCTAAAACTTTTCAAATTCTAAAATTGGTCGTTCGTGCAAGTCTCTAGAATCAAACATACTATGAACTCTCATAATCCAAGTTACAGTACCACGCCAAAATAATTTACTTATAATTCTCAATGAGAGTTGATCGTAAAAAGTCTACCAAATAAAAAAAAAAGAAAGAAAAAAATTCGTGCAAGTCTGAAACAACGAAAGAAGTCTTTGAAAAGGTCTGTCGAACGATATAAATATCATTTTGATTAAATGTACGATATTTTCAAGCAGCTACGAGCAATAAAAATTGTATTATACAAAACTGCATTTAACGCGCACCGATCTATAATCCTAATAACAACCAGACATCGATTTGACATAAATACGTCTTAAAATATAAACTGTTACCTATGTCTTCCGTTTTATTTGATTTTCTTATCTAAAAAGTCTTATGTAATATATATAAAATGTTTCAGTTTTATACGACCAATTTCACCAGTTTATTTTATGAATAAAAGCAAGAAAATAATGTATAATTATTTACAAAGAGGTCTTAGCGATCTCGACGATAGTTGGATATGTCGTAGAAATTAATATTTGCTACAACTTTTTCCTATACATATAATCCACGCTCGGTCTCAGTTTTCGAGATATTCATGAAAACAATTTGGACATTTTTACTTCGATGTGCGTCGAATGTCGCTTATGTTTTGGTTCGACTTATCGCAAGCACGATTATGTTACATGCGCTGATCACGATGAGTTTGTAATCTCACGTTTCAGTTTGTAAACACACTGGCAGAGTGCACGCGCGAGAAACAGAGAGAGAAGATTTTTAGTCATGTATAATAGATTTTATGTCCGGAATAGACCATCGTGTTTGACCATCAAGTTCTTTTTAATTTGGATGGAAATGCAAAATTTGCAAGTCAAACTTGGCATAAATCGATTGAAATCAGATCGAAAGTTATTTAATTGTTAGCTAGTTTGATGATCTGTATCGAGTTAGGTTTTAGTTAGTACAGTGGCTTTAATCCGGCCAACATTCCCTATGGCGATAAACTTGACTAAAAATAGTCTCTTACCTTCTTCGAACTCATCGTGGCCTGAGCGTATAGGTAGATACGACACGGAAGAAAGTTGCTGGTTTACTAAATTCTCTCGAAGAGCTCGGCAAGATTGCATTCCTCTTTCTCATCTGCCTGTGTTTAAGTATCGAAACGTGAGACGATATATAAACTCATGGCGGCTCATGCCGGTCATAAAAATAAACATATTTCCATAAATATGTCTCAGAAACTAAGGCCAATCAGTGATTATATGCGCAAAAAAGAGTTGTCTAAAATGTTGATTTCTGCAATATATATAAAAATCATGGAAATCGCTGAGCCATTCTGCAAATATTTGCCAAAAGATGTTAATTATCCATATCTCATCCACCTCAGCGATATCTTTGAATACGTTGTCGAGCACGTGATTCTGAACAACTTTCTCTCATACGTACAACTGCCGCTCGTTGTTTGTCTCCGAAATATTCGCAAAATATTACCGTTACCCCAACAGTGAATTTTGCCTGTAATTCTGCTTGTCCGTGACGACGTATGCGTTAGAATTGGTTACCTTACGGTTAGTATTCGCCTCACGCGGTCGGATAAAGTTACACCTAACTCAAACCTAATTCTCATCTTTTGTTTATGGTTTACATAAGTTTGGATTAGGTGTGATTTTATCGGGTCGCCTCACGCAACCAACACAAGCACGCAAGCACGATACAGGCAGAATTCGTTGTAGTGGTATATGTACACCCGTTCTTCGATTCAGGCGGCACTTTTTTTACACGAGTCCCTTTTTTGCGCCGTAAATTATAACAATTTGCACGGTAGTTTTCACGCGTGATCTTAATTTACGCGACCAGAAAATATATTTTCCTGGAAGTTTTAAATGTAACAAGTGTATACGGTAACTTATTCGAGAATGTTGAAACGCGTCAGATAAGGCCGTATAAGATAAGGGTAAAAGTACATTACGTTGCACTAGTCATCATATGTATACGTATTTAGTATATATATTTATAATTATAATAATATGTATAATTATAATATATATGTAATATCGTTTATCTCGAGATAATTCAGGTGATCGATTCTGAAGTCTGAAAATCGAGTTTATTGTGAAAATACTTAAATGAAATACAGGAGTAAACAGCAATTAATAACAGTAATAATTAAATAAACAACGACCAATTAATAACAGTAAACAATAAATAACAAGTTCTGTGCAATGTCTACCTGAAAATCGAGAATCGATTTTCAACGTCCTGAGCTACCGATCTTTCTCCGTCAGTCTTCAATGTTTTAAATAATTACTCTTTTCTCTGTGATCTTGTCTATCTCTGATGTTGCTCTCTGTCCGTCCGTTTGGGAAATGAGTGTTTCTCAAAATGGCTGTACGTAAAACAAAGAAAGTCGCTCTGTCCGTGAAACAAAAGAAGTCATGCTGTCCGTAAACCGTGAGAGACCCTATCACACTTGAACTATGCAGTTTACATATATAATTATAATTATAATATATATACAGTGTGGTTGGTAACTGGTGGTACAAGCGGAAAGGGGGCGATTCTACGCGAAAAAAGAAGTCGAAAATATAGAAAAAAAAATGATTTTTTATTTTTTTTTAATTTTTCCATCGAGATAACGATCTACAGCGAGATCCGTTATAACGAGACGCGATTAAGTGCACGCGTACCGAGCGAAGATTCAAAGTCGATTTTCTCGAAAACGAAGCCTCGAACGAAAAATTTTTATTTTATATTTTCGACTTCTTTTTTCACGCAGAATCACCCACTTTCCGCTTGTACCACTCTATATATATATAGTTG